GTATATTTTATAATGCTGGGTGCATGTATTAATATTTTATGTACTGTGGGTGGAAGATAGTACCATGGATATCTATTTGTTATCTCTTCAGCAGTTTCCAGTACAAAGGCCTTAAATTTTTCGACATCAATATTGTACCCAGAAAACAATGCTTGTAACAATATTGAACACCTCTCAATTACATCTTTATCAATTCCGCTTATTTCCGCAGACAAGCTCACCATAAAACTGACAAAATTGCAGCGAAGTCACTTCAGTATTTTGGGCATAACATACACATCTGACAAAATCTGAGTGTTAAATTAGCACTTTTAGAATCTTAGGACCATTGCTAATAGCGTGAAAAAATCAAATTGGAGGATTAAAGGGGAAAGACAACTAAAACTTTAACTGAAATCTAATTTTACTGGCAAAATTAATCTTTAAGGTAACTCAGAACACTCACATCGCCTTTATTATACACAACTATTAAACACACAAATAACTTCACTAAAAATAAGTCAATACCTTGCTTTTCAATAATTATGCTAAGATTTGTCATTTTGAAATGTATTTAATTTCGTTCTACTTTAACTCCACTTTTGCACTGATACCACTGAAAAATGAATCTAAAACATTTTCTCTTTTTTATGCCATTCTCGAAGTGGACCTTTAGAATAAAGCCATGATTATTATGTTTTCTAAAAGCTTAACCCCTTCAGAGTTCATGTGCACACATTTGACAATAAAAATCTGGTTTTCATTTTTTTTTTAATTTGGGCCAATGGCGGTGACCACTGTGCATCGTTTGGTTTATTGAAGTTATTACGTACATTGTATGACAGAATCAGTTGTAATTTGACGCTAACAAGTTATGATTGTTCAAGCTGTTGACCCTTTATGGAGGGAGGTTCCGAAGGGTGGGCGAATATTGTCCATTTTATATCTGACCCAAGTCTGATATAAATTTTAAAATGTGCCAGATTTGTACTATATCGCCTTCTTCCTTCACATTTTATGAGACATGTAATAATTTTTGTTAATTTAAAGAACATTTAACATTTATTCCCAATTTTATGCAAATAAATTATAATCAATATTTTGAACTTTTTTGAGAGAGGTACCAGAAGGAGTTGGTCGATAGATTCCATACCCACATTAGATCTCCGGTTTTTTAGATATCCTACATTTGAAAAGCATCGTTGATTTGTTTCGCAAATTATGAGAGTGCCAGAAATTATGAGGTGCCAGAAGGAGCGAACCGATATTCACAACAGATTTTGTGTTGATAGAAATATTAGGATGTGCCGAGTTTGAAAGACATCCGATGCTTATTTATGTGTTTCATTCTTATTCAAAAAACTGACCTGTTGTGGGGGACGTGCCAGAAGTATTAGTCCATTCCATCCGATCTTCTTCTTGTGTTGATAGAAGTATTGAGTTATGCGAAGTTTGAATATAATCGGACACTTGTTTCACATTTTATAAGGGCTATAACAGGTCGGCCAGCATCTCCAAACTCGACCTAATGTACCAAGTTTAGACCAAATCGGATGCTCCCTTTTGAGAGTTTTCGCGCGCATCAGCCAGATGGACGGACGGACGAACAGCCCTAGATCGACACACAAATGTTCTAAAACTGATTTGGTCTAAAGAATCCTATGGTCTTAAAACGTTAGCCATATGGCTGAGGGTATAAAAAATAAATAGCCCTTTCAGAACTTACTGGGCAAAAATGGTGGATATCAATCCACATTTGACCTAACGGCCTCGCAAAATTTAACATAAACCTTTCCAAATGTAACTCGAAACATTTTAGTTGTAATTATAGAATTTTTAATTCGTAATCTTTCTATTATAATTCGAGAATTATATCTTTAATTCAATACATTTCGAATATTATTCTATAATTACAATTGCAATTCGACTTATTTCATTTCAAATTCGAATTATTCCATTTGTAATTTGATTTTTTTGTACTTGTAATTCGAATTATTCCATTTGAAATTCGAAAATCTGGATTTTTTCGAACAACAAATAAAATGTATCGAATTACAAATTAGATAATACGAACTTCAAATGGGATTATATAATAACAATTGTTAGTATTATATAATAACAATTTAAATATTACGAGTTACAAATGGGTTTCTCGAATTAGAATTTATTTTTATACCCTCCACCATACTATGAAGGGTATATTATCTTTGTCATTCCGTTTGTAAATCCTCGAAATACTCATGTCAGACCCAACAGAGTATATATATTCTTGATCAGCGTAAAATTCTAAGTCGATTTAGCGATGTCGGTCCGTCTGCGTGTCTGTTGTAATCGCGCTATCTTTCGAACGAATTGAGATAGAAGGCTATGCACACATGTTTATTTTTCCAGTAGGCAGGTTAAGTTCGTAAATGGGTCATGTAGGTCCACGTTTTCATATAGCCCCCATATAACGGTACCTCCCCATATTCGGTATTTTGATGATTTTAGCGACATTATTCACAGGAATTGTTTCAAATTTGGGATTTGAAGTTCGAAATTGATACTACAGCCTAAGACAGAAAATTGTCTGTGCAGGTCCACGTCTTCGCATAGCCCCCATATAACGGTACCTCACTATATTCGGTATTTTGATTGTTTTAGCGACATAATTAACCGGAATTGTTTCAAAATTGACATTTGAAGTTCCAAATGGATACTACAGCCTAAGACAGAAAATTGTCTGTGCAGGTCCACGTCTTCGTATAGCCCCCATATAACGGTTCCTCCCAATATTCGGTATTTTGATGATTTTAGCGTCATTATTCACCGGAATTGTTTCAAATTACGTATTTAGAGTTCGTAATGGGAACTACATTCTGTGACAGAAAATTGTCTATGCAGGTCCAGGTCTTCGTATAGGCCCCATATATCAGTACCTTCCTATATTCGGTATTTTGACGATCTTAGATACAATACCCATCGAAATTGTTTGAGATGTCGTATTTGACGTTAGTAAGGGATGCTATAGCCTGTGACAGAAAATTGTCTATACGTTATTCACCGTTTATTAAGAGTTTCGAATTTGAATATGGTAATGGCTTATGACAAACAATGACTATGTAGGTCCACGTCGTATAGACTTCAATATAACGGCTATATTCGGTATTTTTAAAATTTTAACAGATTTTTTTAAGGATTTTATTTTTTGAAAATTTCCAAATTCGTTTCAAATGTTGGAGGGTATTCAAAGTTCGGCCCGGCCGAACTTACTGCCGTTAACTTATTTTAAATTACAGATGTATTCTGGAATTACAAATGAAATATTGCGAATTTCGACACAAATGTTATTCAAATATCCATAATCATTTGTGATTTTTATACCCTCCGCCATAATATGGAGGGTATATTAAGTTTGTCATTCCATTTGTAACATCTCGAAATATACATTTTAGACCCCATAAAGTATATATATTCCTGATCAGAACAGTGTTGGCATGTTTGTTTGGGATACCGTAGTATTTTGTTGTTGCAAAAATCGTCAGGCTTAATCCCATTATTGTTGTTTATATAAAACAACATTTGTTTATTAGTGAAGCACGACGGTATTGTTTTCCAGGGGGTAAGGCAGGGAATACCCTTGATCAGCATAAAATTCTATGTCGATCTAGCGATGTCCGTCCGTCTATCCGTCTGTGGAAATCTCTATATTATGTCTGCAGGACTTTTGGTATTGAAAATGGGCTATGTAGGTCCACGTCTTTGTATATCCCCCATATAACGGTACCTCCCGATATTCGATACTTTGATGAATTTGGCGACATTATACTGCAGCCTATAACAGAAAATTGTCTGTGCAGGTCCACGCCTTCGTATAGCCCCCATATAACGGTACCTTCCTATATTCGGCATTTTGATGACTTTAGCTATATTATTCACCAATTTTTTTTAAGTTTCGCATTTGAATTTTGCAATGACTTCTGACAAAAGGTCCACGTCGTAGTATTTAAAGCCTACATTCGGTATTTTTAAGATTTTTAACGGGTTATATTTTTTTTGAAAATTGCCAAATTCTTTCCAAATTCAAACTTCAGCCCGGTCGAACTTACAGCTTTTTAGTCAGTTGTTTTGATATTTTCTTTTTAGAAAGTAAATAAAATTTAAATAAAACCTTCAAAGAATATGGTTGTGTAAATTGCGCAACCAAATGTTCCGAAAATTCATAAATTCACATCACACACTTCTAATTTCGGCGTGATTCGTTAAAAAACATCTTTTGTTCGAAACGATCCTTCTTATCTTTTTTCAGACGTTTTCTGTTGCATTTTTTATAGCGAAAATAATAGCTTTCGCTTGTTTGGCACTGACAACTTTTTACTACGATAACTGCTTTTTCCCTTATATCAAAGAAAATCAAAAAACTAGGAAAAATCGGTTATCATAGTAAAAAAATGTAAACTCTTGCAGTTCTGCAACAGACCAAATATTGTAACAAAAAGTGACTGTTACCGTTTTATCAGTTTTTAAAAATAGATGATAGAAAACCTTTATAAGTCATGTTGTTTGAAATAAGGTCTTGAAGATGTGCAGACGAAAACAAATGTATCATACGACTGCTATACCTCGCTATATAATCAAAATAAAATAAAAATCATGAACAATGATTTTCCAATTTAAATAACTCCATTTGACACAAGGGCTAGTCAAACGATCTTCTGAACACTTCCGTACATCGCACATCGTACACTCTCAACTTACAGAGATGATGAACGCAAACTCCTAAATAGCCCATATGTTCGGCCAAACATGACCCATTACTTGGTGCTCTCAAATGAAATCACACCACACAACAGAAGACAAGACATGAGGAACAATGAAAGAAAATTACATTTGTGGAACGTATCCATGTTCCATGTATGCGCGTAAGTATGTGTGTGTGTGCTGCTTAATGTATCCAGAGAGCGCTCTTTGTTGGTCTGTGGTATCCGAGCCTGAGCATTTGTAACCAACCTACCAACTACTTCAAGTTGCATTTAGCATTTAGTTTACTCTCACTTCTCACTTCGTACGTATCTGTTGTGCGACGGATATACGCGTTTCTGAACCGTAAAAAACCTGAATTTTAGAGTTGTGTGAAAAAGAAAAAAAAAATACAACAATCAAAATTATACACATACATACATTGTGAAGTACATTTCAAATGTTGCAGACAACTCAGTGTGCTGCTGCCTTGTTGTTGTTAGAGAGAATCCAGCATTCGATTTGGTGTGAATAAACGTGAATTTCTTCTTACCTGGTCCTCCAATTGCCACACTTTGCATAAGGCTCGAACAAGGCAAAGTTCAAAGTGATTTTTTGTTTTTTTAGTTTTTAGCCATTCGGAAAACGTCTGGTTGGTCAGATCAGTTGCGAAATTCTGCAACAAAATTGTCCAATATAGCTAAAACCGAATCGGTCAAATTGCTCGAATACATATTTAGGGCTCTGCAAGTTTGTGAGAATGTGTATAATACTAAGCTGTAAGGAAGGCAAGTGAAGAAGAAAAGCCCAACTAAAATAGCAAGAAAGAAAATTGAAAATCAAAAACGCTAAATGCAACAAAACGACACGAAGTATTCAAAAGTGAAGTGGTAGTGCCGAAGTGAATGCGAAATAATAAAAAATAAGGAATTGATGTGTGAGATAGATCCGCGATGTAAACGGATTTCTGATAATTCCATTCATAGCCATTTGCAAAAAACGACCAAACACACCCATCGGCTGACGACTCTTGGCCATTTTCCTCAATCACTGATTCGGGCAGAGGCTGAAAGGCCAAAAAGTGGGAATTACTTCGTCGAAACAGTTTTCAACTGTCCATTATTGTCGTCATCGGCAGAATCATCATTGGATACAAAACTTAATACAACAGCAACAACAACAGAATTGCCGATTGTCGGACTGAAGATTACATGCATACGTAAATGTTTGTACACCAGCATAGTTGCGCTGATGAGAAAATACGTAAGTTTTCCGGAATTCCGTTTCATAATATTTAGAAAACGAATCTATGTCTAAATGCTGTTCGTATGTACAATCCAGACGTTTGCGTCGCAGTTGTTTATTGTTCATAAGTTTTTTATCCATGTGCGTGTGTGGTGTTCCATCATCACTCCTTTTGCGGTACTTTTATTAGAGTAGCTTTTTGAGGGTGGTTTTCGACACTCTCAGTGGGCAAATGACGAAGTGGTGACTCTTACATTGACATTTAATTTTTAGTAGACCAACATGTTGTACACTTTGCCGAGTGCTAAGCGTTGGGATTCATTCTTCCCGCTACGCCCAACGAAACTGCCGAACTCACCCTAAGCAGACAAAAAGCAACAAAAGAGGAAAACACAAAAAAGCCATACCACATGCTATCGTCGGACGAAACTACGTTGCCTATAAAGTTTATTCTATTGACACCCAAAAAAGGTTAAAATACAAATTACCGGATGAATCCCCTTTCAGAAGTAAACCCTAAGTTTTGGAACCCAGTAAAGATGTACCTAAAAAGTCTGCTAATAATATTTTTTCAAATGATATGTAAGTTCTCGATACAAGTAAACCCTCGGTACAATAATAAAGATGCAAAAATATCCTTGGAGTTATTTACCGATCGGTCTTCAAAGCTCTGCTCAACATAACATTTTTATCCCCAAACAAAATACAATGGAACCTACAGGGATTGTGTCTATTCATTCTTCACTAATAAATAAATGTAATTTAACTAAACTCTAACAAGTTTTTTTTCATATTAAGTTTGTCTGGATACTTTTTCAGTAATTTTTAATTAGAAAACTCTTTCGAGAGAGCGGATGTAGTTTTTACTAATTATTATCAAAAAATGTTAAAAAGTAAAATACAACATCCAGTAAAAATGTTTACTTTAATGGGGAAATTCAAATATGTTTCTACAAAATTTGTTAAACTTGTTCGGAAAAAGCCTTCAGTTAAACTTTCAAAACGTTAAAGAACAATTTTTTCTTCACAGTTCTCAGTATAAAAATTGGCATTTTCATTTATTATATAATATCGAGTGCGCAGATACACATATTGTTTCAGTCGTATCTTATATCAATCTAGCTGGCCCTTAGTTTTACTGTTTAACTTATATTATTATTAACATACTAATCTACAAATTAAATGGAATTATTTAACCCATATAGCTTGCAATATAACTCTATCGGTAGATATAAGGTGTATTCGTGGTTTTAGTTACTGTTTTAAACCGAATTTCCTATAAATTAGTAGTTTGTACTCCCAATATGAATGATTTTATGACTTGTATAAGAGGTTCGTAATGGGTGACAGAAAATTGCCTATGCAGGTCCATAACCTCTATATGACGGTAGCACTCTATATTCAACAGAATTTTTCAAATTTTGTATTTGGTGTTGACAATACTTTCTACTTTCTCTTTTAGAAAATTATCTAGATAGGCCCAGACTATTGTACATCGGTATTGTGTATTTGGAGTTCGTAATGAGTACCACATCCTATGACAGAAAATTACCTAAACGGGTCAAAACGTTCATGCATTCCGTATAAAACGGTACCTTCTAATTTTTTTCCAGGGAATTATATCAAAATTGTCATTTGAAGTTCGCAGGAGGCAATACCTTCTCTAGTGGATAATTAAATTAAACGTCCTCCGCCCTAAATGGGGGTATAGTATATGTCATAGTTTGTACAAAGTACAAGTCGCATTTATTGTCTGATCAAGATGAAATTTTGCACAAAACATTTGTTTGGTTCAAGGATGAACTCTATTGAAATTGGAGATAATCGGTCAAAATTTAGATATAGCTCCCATAAATATCCTCGTCGATTTGCCTTTTATTGTACATAATTTATGTATACATAATATTAGCCCAAATAGGAAGAATTTTCAATATGGTGGAAATCGGCACAGATATAGCTATAGCTCCCATACATATTCTTTATTCGATTTGTTAAATTTCACATCCACAGCTGTAATATGCACTTCGTAACAACGATATTTTTAGAAGAAATATATAAAATACAGCTCAGAAATACATTTACCAAATCTTTTCGATATCGGTTCAGATTTGGATATATCTCCCATACATATCTTTACTCGATTTCAGGTTTATTGTGGAGGAAATGGTTAATATAAGAACGTATTGAATGGATTTAGGCATACACGAACGAATTTAGTCTGGAAGAAAGTGTGTCAAATTTGGTGAAAATGGGTTAAGATATAGCTCTAGGTGCCATATATATGTTTCATCCGATTTTGTATTTTACTCCCTCACACTCGTAAAACAACGCATTTTGTTGACATTCATATAAAATCCATATGTTAAACTTTCATGGTGAAAAACGTAGACCGAGGCATTCTCGATTCCATGTAGACATGTAACGTTGTTCTTAAAAATTGCTGACAGTGCAAATTAAACATTTTTATTTACGATAGATACCCTTATACAAAATAACAATATGAAATAATAAATAAAGCATACAAACGTATGTATGTTTGTATTCATGTACGAACGCTATCATTTGCGCCTTCTTCTATAAAGAAATCGACATTAATTTCCATTTTATTCATTATTATTTGAACAAGAAAAACAACAAATTCATCCTTGTTCATTCTAGCCAGTTTCAAATGTCCAACTAAATCTCCGAGTAAACGCTCTGCGTTCAAATATTGTTCGTCCGTCTGTTCGTCGTCCCATTAAATCCAGTATGGATTCGACGGAACAAGCTTCAAACATTAGCATTAATCCAAAAACCAATGTAGAGTGATGCGTAGAGTTTATACGGAAACGACGTTCTTTCAAACACCACCGTATTTACTTGTTTACTTAACATCGCCAATAAAGTACTGATTAGATTTAGTACTATGACATGTGTGTGTGTACGTATGAATTTGTTTTGCCATTGTAGTTTTCATTTGCAATAAACTTGAAAAATCCATGAGTTTGTTATTTTGTACAAACATGCAAATGTATGTCCTTTACATTGTAGACGACAGTATCCGGCAAGCACTTTAAAATATTTTTACGAATCTCCTACCTAAAGCAAACGTTGTCTCAAAAACGTTAGAATGTGGCGGAAAAGCGTTCAAAATAAATCTCCAGAAAATTAAAATGGCCATGAAAAAAATTGTGAGATGCATGTGCCGAATAATCTATTAAATGGTAATGTGAGTAAACAACCTTCTGTATTACCAGTAGGTTGCATATAATAGGCCACAAATCATAATGTAGCGAACTAAATTTGCATTTTTAGTCGCATTTTTCAAAATAATTATTTCAATGTTGGTATAAGTAAAACAAGTAACACGTTCGGTATCAAAAAAAAAAAATAAATAAATAAATAAATAAATAATAATAATATTAATAAAAACAAAATTCTAAGCAGGTCCACAGTTCTGAATTCTGTGTATCTATATAGTATATAAAATGTAGTGGGTACTTAAAATTAAGCTACAACAATTCTCGGCATAAAATGTGAAAACAAACACTTTCTTACTAATTTTCATTAAAACATACCTTAAATGACGAAAATAGAACACTGTTGGATACTTAGTTTGTTCTGAAATAAACTCGCAAAGACACTGAAATCCACGAAAGAGTAAAGTTGGGTGTTCATTTCATATTAGCTAATTCATTTCTGCATTTTCTGTAATTTCATTGGTCAAATTCCACTGCACAGGAAACAGGTTCCCATCCCTGATTTGTGTAAATACAATGGATTTATAAATGTACATTTTGACAATTAGACGTTGTCAAAAGAATAAAGAATGAATAAACCTCCTACAAATGTCTTACAAAAGAAGAGAGCAGTGGCTTCATCGTGTCACCCTGTACATACAAACCATGGTATAATTAAGAAGGTAAACACACGAAATCATATGTTTATTTACAAATCCATTGTATATTCGCAAATCAGATATGGGAACTTGTTTTCTACACAGTGTAATGAAATGTTTTTCAGTTTGACATGCTATATTGATTTGTACATTTTTTATTGTAGTTTTGTCTTGAATTCTGAATGAAAGATAAAGAAATTGAAATTAGATGCGAAAAGATTTAAACAAACAGCAAGTAAAAAAATTATGTGTGGACAGGACGAGCTTTTAATACCCTCCACTTTGGGTAAAGGAAACATTTTTTATATAAAAGTATCTGAATTCAAACATGTTCCGCTTTAAACTTCTAATACCAGTAAGACCGTTTGGACAATGCAGTTAAACTTATCAAAAAGCCATAAAGTGAGTGACGCCTTTATATGGGGCCATACCAAAAGGGGGAACCTCTATAGACAATTGTATACTTCAAGGATTTTCATCTACCAAATCTTCTAAAATACCAATTTCGTGAATAAATGTGACAAGGATTATCAAAATACCGAATAAATATGTTAAAGTTAATATACCCTCCTTTCCAAGGTGGAGGGTAAAAAAATGAGCGAGACAGCGATATGGGGCTTATATCGAAATGTGGACAATGAAAAATCGAAATACAAAATTCTTTCGGACTGCAATCATTGAAATACTGAATATGAAGAGGCACTGCAAAATGGTGGACCTAATTGAATATTTTGTAAGAAGAGGATTTATATCTTCGGAAAATTCTTCCGAATCCTTCAAGATATTAAAAACACAGGTACTATTATACAGGGCACTATACACAATATCGAATAATAAAATGTGCTACATACAATCTGGGGGTTGTTTAGTTTTGAGAGGAGGTGATAGTATTCGGTTAGTAGATCAAAATCAAAAGAGGTTTTGAGTTCCCAGGCCAAATTTTTTAGAGCCCATTATGTATTTCCTTAAACATACACAAAGGACTTCAATTATTATGTCCTATACTTCGCAGAATTTGCGACAGTGTTTCAAATTTGATATAGTCTTATGGATTACATGTAAAACCATTGCACAGTGGTCGAGGTCGTATGGGAACAGCGGCCAAAAATACTTTGAGTGCAGATATCAATATGATTATTTG